CTTATGTAGCAAAAAGTAGCACTTCCTCCAATAAAACCCAGGCAGAGCCGGAGTACTACAAAAAGGAAAGTATGGCCTCGTCACAAAGGACCGATGTTGTTTCTCGGGACATCTAGGAGCCGTGCGAATGCCTGACCGGCTCGTAGCAACAACAATCCCATTGATCACTGGCATCCAAAATCGGATTTTTGTGAGATTTAAATATTTTTATTTACTATTCCATCCCTTACATATTATTATTGCCAAGAAAATGTAAATTATTGGAACTATCAATGATGTTTCTTATGTTTCTTGTTTCTTATGTTTCTTACGTTTACGTTTTACGTAACTATCAATGAAGAATGTTTCTTATGTTTTACGTAACTGTCAATGAAGAATGAAAAGTAGGCCATGCTAAGAAGTTAAAAATGAATTAAAAGTCTTGTACTTGACAAGATAATTTGAAAGTTCTGGTTTCCTGAAAAACGCTGTTTTGGAGATACGAGCAGCAAACCACTCAAGCAAGTAGGAGAAAAACAATATGCATTCCATCTAACTGCTCACTTCAGTACACAGTTTCATCCCTTATACTTTTAATTGAAGACTTTTAAGTATTCGCTCATTTAATATTTTTGTTTTTTTTTTGTTTAAGTATAGAAACAATGAAATAACAATAATAATAAGAAATAATTATTATTGAAGATACCATTCGAAGTAATAATAAAGCTATAATAAGCTAGAATGAAATATAGCTACAAAACAGATATTGGTTGTGATATATATGTATATATGAACAAAATATATTGACTGTATATACTGTAGTATACATAAAAGTATACGAACACAAAATTATATACTTATGCATCATTTATATTAATTTACATCAAACATTATGGTATTATAGTAATATGTTTGATAATTATTTGCTAGGAACGCAAAATCCATATTTTGTGCCTCAGATATGTCATTATTAGAAATAAATGCGAGAAATTTTAGTAGTGCTATACTAAAATATGTTCATTTGCAGAGTGCGCGGATCTGCTCCTCGCCATTCCAGTTCGATGTGCACGAACAAAAAATTTTAGTTGGCTTCGCTCGTGAGGTATACACACTGTGCTTTTTCAAAGATAATTGTTAGCTAGCTTTTTCTGATGAAAGGGTAGACGTTAACCAGTTTTTCACTGCAAGGGCGACTGTGCAAATTTCAGTTTATTTTCAAATCTAAATTTATAATAGCGAAAAATTTTATTTTACCCATTAGTAATAGCGACTATTCATACTAAGCATCATATAAGATGCTGTTTTTAATTAATGCGAGAACAGATGTAAAAAAATATGGAAAATGTGAAATATTTTAGAAACAAAATTGTGGGAACAAAATTTTATAGAATTATATTTAAAAAGAATAACGTAAAATCATTAAATGGAATAGCCAACTGGTTACAAATACCTAGAACTTGAAATAAGTGGGACACGTACTATCTCATATAAAAGTATAATTTTTCAGTATTTGAGTAATAAATAATACGTATCTGAAAAGAAAAATATGGCGATAACAATGAAAGAAAACTACTGAACTACAAAAACAACATTAATAGCCTTAAAGGTATATATGAGATGGTACGTGTCCCACTTATTTCAATAATAATCCAAACGGGAAAGCTGAAAAAAAGTAATGTCTGAATCACCATACTCTTTCAGCCTGCTTGTCATTGCCTTCGATAGCTGCATTTTCATTTTAATCAAATAAAAATAAAGCAGCAATTAAGTGGAAATGTAGTTAATTTTATAGTCAGTGCTTCTTTAAAGCATGAATGCTTGCTTTCATTTGCTTGTACCTGCCTAGACTATTGGACAGATGCATACGTCGGCTGGTTTTTGCCTTCAAATTCTTAAGACTTATTTAAGGTGGTGGCAGCAGATTCGCTGTCACTGTGCCTGGCTGCATGCCTAAATGCATTTGATTCATTTGGTTTCGAATGCGAATCAGTGATGTATTATCCGGTTGACTCGGAATGCATTCTGAACACAGAAGATCGTCTGGATCGGCCAGATTTGTTTGTTGATGAACTCGAAGATAAGGTCATCTATTTGGACAACAACTGCGCCGGATGTATGTTTCTTTCGAGACAGTGTTTGCTAGAGTGTTACATTATAATACGGGCTTAAAAAAATCAAAAGTCTTCAGCTCCGCTTGTCGACGAAATTACGATTTCATTGAGGCAGATCAAAAGCCGGCAC